ATGATTAATATAATTTTCATATCAAAGTTTCTTTTTATTGGAGCGAATAAATGAAACCTAGGTAGTTGAAATGTGATAACATGTAAAAATAAAACAATAGCATGGGTCTAACGGTATTTAATATTTATAACAGGTCTTAATGGCATAGCAGGTCTTTGAAGATATATGTACGTGAATATATGTATATAAGTATGTATGTATATATGCATGTAGGTAAGTATGTATGTATTCTATGTCTTCTGGGAACCAATGGTGAGTTTTCTAGGTGATTCTACAAAAATAAGTTAATGGATCGCAATACAATCTTTAAAATTAGATTCTTATGACGTGTAGTAAATTAGGTTCAATGTTACATTTTTGCTCAATGTTGATTTTGATGCAAATGCTTATGAAACTGCGGCAATTCTTTTGAATGCATACATTGTTATTATTTCACATACCTAGGTTATTGTTACTTTCATTTCCGTATATACTAAAAACATTGTAAACGTGTTAAGTGTGAACTGTAATTCAGGCTGAACAGGTGTATACATAAGAATTAAGAATAATAATAAAATATATTGATATTATTATATGTATTTATATAGGCAAAATTAACCAGTCAATGATTTCTTATATTTACACGAACACTACACATTAAATTAAAAAAAAGTGTTATAACTCTACAAGATGAAGAAGCCTGCAGACTGTGAACATGTTCAAGATTGTCCCCGACATTATATCAGATTTGATAGACCACATATCCTCGCAAAAGAACACCGATTCCTACCAAGGATGATTCGCGAGTCTATTGAAATTGATACGCATACTAATTTAAATAGAGAAGATGGATGGGTGCTACAATCTGCTCGGGATCCTATAATTAACAAAATTAAATCGAAACCCAAGCATACCACTGCAAGACTTCAGGATACTTTAAGCTTTTCTTTGTAGATGAAACCAAAAATTAATACTCAAACTGAATGTAGCCGGGCTAACTATGACATCGGGACGTCAAACACCTATGTGACCATGGGTGCTATAAAACAATCGAAACGTCGTGTCTTAAAAAGTTAAAATTAAACGCGATAAAATCCGTAAAATTGGTTTAATTAGTAAAATAACGTAGTTTTAAAAATTATTCATCACTATACCTCTTTATTACAAACAAAAATAAAGAGTTTTTCGTAAAATTCTTTACTTTTGTTTGTTCTTTTCTACATCATTATTTTGTGGGTGTAGTTAATGCTATCCCGGACGTCAGTCTGAGCGAGATTAGAATGGCTCTCCAGCACCTTAAAAACGGCAGGGCCACAGGCGAGGATGGAATTACAGCGGAGCTTCTGAAAGCGGGTGGAACACCGGTACTTGAAGTCCTTCAGAAGCTCTTCAATTCCGTCCTCCATGGTGGCACTAATCCGGAGGCGTGGAGCAGAAGTGCGGTGGTCTTGTTCTTTAAGAAAGGCGACAACGCTCTCTTGAAGAACTACAGACCGATTTCCCTCTGACGCGTTTACGTGCTGTTTTCGAGAGTCATTACGAATCGTCTCGCACGCAGACTCGACGACTTCCAGCCTCCCGAATAAGCCGGTTTCCGAAAAGGCTTTGTACCATAGACCACATATATACCCTGCGGCAGATTGTACATAAGACCGAAGAGTACAATCTGCCACTTTGCCTGGCATATGTGGACTATGAGAAAGCCTTTGATTCCGTCTAAATTTGGGCGGTGCTACAGTCCCTTAGGGTGCCCAGTTGACTGTCGGTATATCGAAGTGCTGAAGTGTTTGTACAGTAGGGCTACGATGGCCATTCAAGTACAGAACCAGAGTTCGAAACCTATCCAATCTGCAGAGAGGTGTAACACAGGGTGACGTTATATCCTCGAAACTCTTCACCGCTACGTTGGAAGAAGTTTTCGAGCTACTGGACTGGAAAGGATACGGTATTAACATCAATGGCGAGTACATCACTCACCTTCGATTTGCCGACGATATAGTCCTTATGGCAGAATCGCTGGAGGACCTTAGCACTATGCTCAATGACCTCAATGGTGTCTCCCAACGGATAGGTCTTAAGACGAACATGGACAAAACAAAGATCATGTTTAATGTCCATTTCACACCTATGCCGGTAGTTGTTGGGAGCACTATGCTCGAAGTTGTTGACGAGTACGTTTACCTGGGACAAATAGTCCGACTAGGTAAGTCCAACTTCGACCGAGAGGTCAATCGGCGGATTCAACTCGGCTGGGCAGCGTTCGGAAAATTACGACAAATCTTCTCGTCAGGTATACCTCAATCTCTGAAAACTAAAGTGTACAACCAGTGCGTGTTGCCAGTGATGACTTACTGATCTGAGACGTCCTTCATGAGGTCGCTCAGCGAGATATGGAGAGGGCTATGCTCGGAGTTTCTCTGCGTGATAGACTAAGAAATGAGGATATCCGCAGTAAAACCAGAGTGACCGACATAGCCCAACGGATTAGTAAGCTGAAGTGGCAATGAGCCGGCCATATAGCTCGAAGAACCGATAACCGATGGGGAAGAATGGTTCTCGAGTGGCAGCCTCGTACCGGTAGGCGTAGTGTAGGGTGACCCTCACTAAATGGAGTGACGACCTGGTAAGACATGCAGGAAGTCGATGGATGCAGGTGGCTCAGGACCGTGCTTTGTGGCATTACTTGGGGGAGGCCTATGTTCAGCAGTGGACTTGTGAAGGGCTGTAATGATGATGATGATGATGAATTAATGCTATTTGATTTTAGGTTTTCATACACTCATTTATTACATCCTATTAAAGTTCACTGCAGAGTGTAGGTCCTCCCCTAGGTTACCTAATATTTGTCCTAGTTGCCACCTCGACGGGCGGTTTGACGTCCGTGGGCATTTATTATTTAAGTTGTCTGGAAGATGTTGCTGCCATCACCGTTACCGTTACAGTCTATTAAAGTCCACTGCTGAGCATAGGCCTCCCCCATAGATTGCCTCAGAGGAGAGATATTTGCCATAGTTGCCACGCTTGAGGGTTTTGGTAACTGCAGTTTTTCATTTTTAGTCGTTATTAGAGTGGCATTGCTGTCCATACTGATTTGTTTCCCTGTGTCGCCTCTTACGACACCCACGGGTCGGATATGGGGTGGTGAATGTTCTTACACCGCCACTACACGGTTGCTGCCCTTGTCATGTTTCATTTCTCTGTGATATGGTGTAACTACACCATATAATCTCATCATCATTGTACTACTAACTAGTGTTTGTAAATTAGAGTAGGTAGCAGTTTTGTCGTATCCTTTTATTAACATAATGTAGCTGGTGGATTCATGTTACGGTTTTTATTTTGATTTTAAGGTATTAGTTTACTTGAAAGAGAATGATCAACTATGAATTATTTCAGTACGCTAGAAATTACTCAGACAGCTATTCTGATCTTTGTTAAATAATTACGTAAATCGTCTTAATGTGCTATAGATAAATTGTGCTACTTTTTATATTGAGGTTAGGAATGGACTTGCCGCTTTATTATCTCCGTTATTGACATTTTGTTAGGTAACGTCATAGGACGTAGCTACTAATGTTGTGTATAGTTGCATTTTTAACCGAGTTTGATAATCGATAAAGGTTAAAATCGAATTCGTAAATCGATAAAGGTTATATTATATTCGACGCGTATTTTATGTACCTACCTACCTTCCCTTCTCGGAAACGGCTGAACCGCTTTAAATGAATGTTTTTTTTTTTAAATCAACAATAGGTTACATTTCAGGGGTATTAAAGTGGGGAATGAAGATTTTAATGCACCTATTTAAACTATTGAGCAGACATTGTAGCTTGATGTTGTTACCTCAGACGAAATAATACTTATTTCGTCTGAGGTTGTTACCTTGAATTTGTAATATTATTTAGAACACTAAACTTTTATTAAGAGTAACACCGATTTCAAAAATAAAATAAGAAATTATTTGTATATAATAGCTTCTCTAGTCGGACTTTAATTGTAATTATTTGTTACATTATGCCTTACCTGTAGCACCTACTTTAGAAACTATAATAGGAATCTCTTTTGAAATTTTGAAGTTGGTTAATCTTCTTATTAAAGGTTTAATAATAATATATCGATGCTGTAGTCGTTAATATTTCATCCAAACTTTGAAACACCGTGTTCTGTAGTTCTATGGCAGTTTTAAAAAGGATGTGATCCTCACGTAATTGACGGTCTAACATTATGAAATGACTGCCATGAAATTCTTTTGTATTAAGACAGAAATAATATAAGCCTGCTCACAAACTTTGAAGACTAGTTGCCACAGAGTACCTTTATATATACTGCTGTTGCACCGCATATTTGCTTGATGATTTTCCGGATAGCAGATAGTTCGTTTATCAGGCTCACAAAGACAATAAGTAAGTCTTGGTTAATATTTATTTCTCAATAAAACTTTAAAAAATAAAAGACAGTCTGAAATTGCTTAATATATAGGTATGAATATCTTAGAATGTCGCGTGAGTGAATCAAGAGCACACGCTAGCAATAAATATTACGACAGCAATTGAAATTGTATTTCTATCAATATTTCAGTACTTTGTGATTTTTTCCTTTGTGCAAAATTACTTGTATCTGATTCCTTTGTGTTTCATACTTTGTACAGATCTTTAAAAAAACTAAATTGTTACCGTGATATTGTAGAACATTGATCATAATATTTTTAATACTGTAGCATTGTCTAAATACTACTTTTTACGCTGTGACTGTAGTTTTTAGGAAGAAAATTAATCCAACAATAAATTAAATAATACCTGTACTTGTGAAAATATTGATTAAACAACACTTACTTTCGATCTAATTTTATATAAATTTTTTATTAGTGTAAGCGACGATTTTATAAGTTCTATCATTTAGAAATATATTATATGAAATATTTTAATATATAATTTTTCATAATTATTAATTAGAATACATTAAAATGAATCCAAAAACCTCAGAACTCAAATTTCACAGAGTAATTAGGAGCCGGTGGCAGGATGTCGGTTACTGAGGATGTGTTAAGGAGTATGTGAACAAACCTTCTAAAAATGCATGTTAGTTGACGTTTTAGCATAGTTTATAGTATAGTTGTAGCACTAATGGGTCGGCTCAACCGGGGAAGGACCACGATGCTGCTGCTCTGGATTCGTAATCGAGTATAGATGTAGATGTCTATGGGCACAGCAACCATTTACCGTCAGGTGGACAGTCTTTCTTTCTGTATGACTACAGTTGACTTAAAAACCACAGGATGGATATTCGGTTATGAATCAATCTTCTAATCATTTGACTCAAAACCTTAATTTACCCTTCTAAAGATTATAAATATAGATATTGAAATTACAGATGAGTAATAGTTAAATATTTTACTGTTTACAGTTAAGTTTAGCGGCACGTTGGGCGCTTACAGTGGCGTGGGGCGGATACCCACGCTGGTGTCGGGGACAGGACCAGGGTCAGGCGACGTGGAGATGGTGCAGGAGGGTGAGGGGGAGCCGGGCGGCAACAGCCTTATCGCGCCGCGCCGGCTACCCAATCCCTGTCTAGAGAGCCCACAGCGTGTGGACTTACACAGAGAACTGCTTTTTAATCAGAGGATGTAAGTGATAACATGGAACGTGAACTGTGCCATTATATTATTATTATATTGAGTGATAGTTAATGTATAATTTGACATACTTTTTCTCTTTTCTTCGTTGTTGGATCCAAATTCATAATATTTTTTACACAAGTATTGCAATGATTTGCATTTGCTCATTTTCGAGTTACGGTTGATGCTCAGTGCTAGATTAATACTCCTTTTTTGCGGTACATCAAACACCTAGTTTATCTATACATATGTATTAATATATATTAACTGTAGAATAAAAATGATACCGACTTAATAAAGAAACAATCATATAATAAGATATTAGGAACAAATCTGTTATCACCGTTGAACAACAGCGCAGGGGAAATCTTCACTGCATCTTGTCTCGGCAGGTCTTTAAGTATTAATTAGGTATGCCAGAATAATCAAGTAAACTTCTGCAGATGACAGAATAACAAACTCTTAAAGGCCATATTGACCATGGAGTCAAAGATCAAACGATGAAAAGATTACAGATCGTGTATGCGACGTAGGGTAAAGTGTACTATAATTACAAATCGGCATGCCAAGTGTGCCGTTTACGTCATAGTATAAAATATGTATTAGAATAATATTATAATTCCTAGTGCACGCACAGGCTGTTTTTGAAGTGATGAATGATGATGTTGATTTTTGTGATTAAATGGGGGTCTATCTTTACGGTTTACGGTTGTACAAATATGGATACGACCATAGAATACTATAATATATACATAATAGAACGGGGGAGTGGGCGGAGCCCGTGTAGCCACTAAAATGTCACTAACACGTCAATTCACACGTATAAATGTCAACACGAAATGTGTTTTGACGTTACAATCGTTTCCAAATTTCCCATGCAAATTATTTAGAAAATGCGAAATTGCACGCTATTTACAAATAAATATGTATTAAAATCCGTCTGTCAACAGTGTCAACACAGCGAATCGGGTTTGTAGTAGTAATAATACGACGTTATTGCTTGTATGTGTGCTCCCGTCGACGCCTATCGTCGTATAAAATAAGGTTGACAGCCATTCTATTGTGTATTATAGTATTTTATGGATACGACGTTAATTGGACCCGTAAATTACGAGTATAAACTTATTCAACTATGAACTCCAATTGTACGTAGTCGGGAAAAAGTATAAAAGTCTTTTTTATTTTTCAACGATAATTTTTCTTATTCGTCTTTTAAATCTACTGTTGTAGAAATTTAGGTTCGACATTTTTTTAAATTTTTTATAGATTACGTTTGCGAAACGAGCATACCTACAAGTCACCTGGTAAATGGTTGCTGTGGGCCGTAGATATCTTCATCTATCAATTATGCATCAAAATGCAGATTTGTTGTCACCCCTGAGGCCTAAGAAGGAATGACCCTTTTCCAGTAGAAAGCGTCCTCCGGTTCTCTAAACTCACCATATGGAACATAGCATCTCAATGATTCTGTGTGAGCTTGATCCTTATTCGTGTTACAATAATATAGCTGCAGCGTGGTTCTGCCACGTGTAAAAAATATTGTTACAAAACTCCATCTATTTTGTTTCGGTTAACGTTCACTTGGTACATAAAAATGTTTTTGATTTATTAGGATTCATAAATCGTACCCAGTTTTAAACGCATTGAAATTCAATTGCGATGTGATTTCGAAAAATCTGCTTCTTATTCAATCTTGTTAGGTTAAGGCGCTTATAACGTGAGTATTGCCGACGCGATTGCCATGCTGCGTAGAAATCTGGTTATTTACAATTTCTAAGCCCATCATGCATCCCTCCATCACAGCCTGTAAAAGTCCACTGGTGAACATAGGCCTCCCCCATGATTGCCTCATGGGGCGATTTTGCCATAGTTGACACGCTTGGTGAGCGGGTTTGTCAACCGCAGTTTTTTATTTAGTTTGAGTTGTTATCAGGAAGATGCCGCTGCCCATCTCCTGCCTGTCTCCCTCTGTCGCCTGTTACGACACCCACGGGAAGATATGGGGTAGTTCGTATTCTTACACCGCCACTACACGGTTTCTAAGTAACTTACATTAATATTCGATAGTGAATCACAACAACCTTTCCGAAATATTGTTTTATAGAGGTTCTTTAAATTAAATAATATTTATCCATTTTTATGTGACTTGGAAAAAGTGACTGATTATCAATTTGACTTTTTAGTTTAATTACTTTTTTAATGTATATGTTATCTCAGAGATTAGTTAATTTATTAATCAGAATTTTATTTATTTAATGATAAAGTGTACTTCTACGATTACTATAAGTCTTTCTTTTCAGTTTCAACTAAATTTATTTTTGTAGGATATGGTGACAGTCCACCTGTTGGTAAGTGGTTTCTGTGGCCCATAGACATCAACATCTATCCTCGATTACGATTCAAAATGCATATGCGTTGACACCCGTGAGGACTAAGATGGAATGCCTCGTTTCCAGTAAATGGGGTCTCCGGTTCTCTACACTCACCATACAAAACACAGCAGCATTAAGCTACTATTTCACGCTGGTATTCTGTGAGAGCGTGGTCCTTCCCCGGTCGAGCCGATCCATTCGTGCTACAACTATACTTTTTTTTTAAATCCATTGTAATGTTATTTTTAATACTTCTTATTTGTTCATGAAACATGTTTTATACAATTCTGTTATTACTTTAATAAATTCTTAAAACAACATTTTCTATTTTGCTAAGCCTTCTTTCATTGTGAAAATAATGCTCACTGAAGCGTTTCTAGTTTTCATGAGATGAGTTGCTCCTTTAATAAACGTTGAAGAAATGCAACTTGTAGGCTCGACTCCTTGCATTTTTTAAAGAATACACAATATTGTTGCTTTTTGTAGTATAAAAATAGTGAACATATGTATTTCTTGTAGAAATTTCAAACAAAAGCACATTGAATATGCAGAGTTTATGGTTGTCTGTGTTTTGGGTCAAAAAGCGTGCTTTACGAATTTTGTAATAAAATTATCACACTTATTGAATTTCTTAAATTATCTTGTTATTATTTTACTTATAATGGATATTTCTATTGCTGATAATTTTCAAAGAAGATTTAAACGATGTACTTAATGTAGCAAAGCCACATGAGTAAAGAAGTAGAGTAAATATTCATAAGAAACAAAAACAGGCGGAAATGCTTCGCTACACACTCACTCACTGCCTTTATTGATTCACTTTCGTAAACTTCAGTTTGCAATACGCATTCGACGAACTGTTCTATTATATTTTTTCTATAGCGTCACATGTTCGGGATTCTTGGCTCACAGGTGCGACGCATCCTGCCGCGACTCCTGGGAACTCGCTATAATTACTGAACATCTGTCGTTCATGCAGTCTTTTTATGTGCCAACCTTTTATTTTGAGAATTCTAAAAATTAGTTCTGGGCAACTAGTAGTCTAGTTTTTTAGTAGCCATTTTTTTAACGTGGTGTTAACTCAAACATTTCCTCAAATTTTGATCTTGGCATTATCATTCTGGCGTAATAGTTGTGTTAAAGTTACAGTCTATTTACGCCCCACTGCTGGGCACAGAACAGGCCTCTTATTTCTGAGAGGGTTGTGTGTATAATCTCGAAATTCCGGGATTGTACACAGACTATCGCGGATCTGCGATATCTCCTGGATTCAAAAAAATGCTAATGAGATCAGTATAAGGGGTTACGAATTATGATACGCAACAATGCAACCTTTTATTGGCATAGTCACATTTCAAATCATAAAGTAACGTTTTGTTTTCTTGTTAACCTTAAATCTTTTTTTAAATTGTGCAAATATGATTAAAGAAATAACTTTGCGTTCAATATCTCATCACCAAGTTATTAAAAAAAAAAACAAATATAAAGCGAAGCCAATTAAAAATAATAAAAATAGCTTTTTACATAAACTGTTTGGCGGCGCATCGCACAAACGCTTCTAAATCAGCTGTTAAAACAAGATTGCTGACAAACCGACAGGTAAAAATGAGTGCGTTTCGTTTCATGAGAGTTCTTTACCTGGTTTTTTTTCATTTCCATTCCCAAACATTCCGGTTTTATGAAATTAAATCCCGAAAGGACCTAAAAAGGATCCCGGGATCAAATTCTCAATTTACAAAAAATGGTGAAATACGTAGAGATATTTCATTAACTTGTTATTTTGTATTATAGCATGAATAATGTTTTAAGCAGCGGCGTCCCAATTAATTAAACTATTAAGTGCGCAGTGTTATGGCGGTGTAAGTCCGTTATCCCGTGGGTGTCGTAAGAGGCGACATAGGGAAACTCAGACAGGACATGGACGGCAACATTACCCTGATAAGTACATTATATACAAGCAAAAACTGTGGCTGCCTACCAGTCTGCCAAGCGAGGCCACTTTGGCAAATATGCTATGTTTTGTCGGTCTGTAATGTATCACTGAAGGAATGAATGGATTTAACAATTAATACTGTCTAAATATTTATTCAAAACATTTCTTCCCCGTTAGATTGATTATTATTGATTGATTAAGTGTTATATAACTTTGAGTCTTTCATATAATGTTCTTTTATTGATTTTTGTCCATATTTTTATTCATCTTACACGAAAAACATTGTTACTTCAATATACTTAGTCAGGTCATTAAGTTCTGTCAAAAATTTTTTATAAAATTAATGAAGTGTATCATTAAATTTTTGATATACTTCATTAATTTTATTAAATATTTGATAATTAGGATAGAAATTATATATGAAATGAAAGGTAATTTAATTTAGAATACAATTATATTTACATTATTCGAAATGCCTTCCCTTATTTTAAATACATGTCCTTAATCCATGCGGCCAATCATCAATCTCAGCACGCACCACACTCATATCTATTCCTGCCGCTGCTTTAGCCAATGATCCTCGGAGAGATTCCAAATTCTGATGAGGTTTAGCGCAGAGTTTCTCCTCCAAATGTTGAGATATCTAATCATGGGCTTAAATCTGGACTAGAAGAGGGCCAGCCTTCATGTTCGATAAAGTGAATTCCATGGGCGCTTCTCTATGTTTTTTCTTCGACCATTACATATTCGAAAATGAATGAAAATTAATATCTTTTTTTATTTTAGGCAAGCGCAAACGTTATATTTTTAAAATTGTTGAAGTTCATCTACCCAGTATTCAAAATTTTTAAATAATAAGGTTTTGACAGTACTTATGACCCGACTTTGACGTTGCTTTTTCGTATGTTTCATTTATCCAGTGTTTTTTTGCATTCGTTATTATTTTTCGTCTTTATATTTTATGAATCGAGTATGATAATTAAACCAACACAAATTTTAATACTTTCTTTTACTAGAATCAGAATTCTTCGTCGAGATTTCGATCGCTTCGTCAACTATTCAATAACTTACAATTGGATAAAAATACATGCAGGGAAATTTTTTAGTTTTTGGTCTTCAACATTAGACAGTTCAAAATCCCAAGTGCTGTTTTCAATAGTGTTGTCGGATTTAACAATTAATACTGTCTAAATATTTATTCATAACATTTCTTCCCCGTTAGATTGATTATTATTGATTATTTCTTCTGAACAATCTCTCAACTTCTGAAAAATACAAAATTGATTTGAACAAAATTGTAATGATCTAAACGTCAATAAAATACCTTCACAAACGGTTGCCTGTTGATTCAGTTTATTTCCTCGTCATTTGCGTTTGTCGGAGGTGCTCCGTCCCTGTGATTTCCGCAGCCGCCTGCCAGCAGCGACGGAAGGAAGTAATTCCATGGTAGCAACAGGACTACTATGTGTATTTTGATGATGCCAACATATGATTTAAATAGTTGGTAAATCAATAAAACCTACGGCTTTTCATACATTTATCACCAGTAATTTTTAGTTAGGTATTAAGAGAAAGCGATAAAATTTGCTTTAATCTGGAATCTCTTTAAACTGGTTTGTTCTTTGTCTAGTAATTTATACAAAACATATTAAGTATAATAATAAAGCTTAGAAGTTCAGATATCTTTATTTGAATTAAATTGGATTTTGTGAGAGCCAATTTTAGCAGGTTTGTTTAATGAGGCAGTTATATATTATTTTATTGTTACGTCCTGTGGCGGAATATCATTATAGTTTTATCATTAGCTGAAACATATGTTATTTATATTGCCGTTTGGTGGTGGCGAAGACCCATTTCATCACATCTCCTGTTGCAATTTCCCTCTGTCGCCTCCATCGAATACTGTAATACACAATAGAATGGCTGTCAACCTTATTTTGTACGAGGATCGGATCATACAAACAATTACGTCGTATTATCAGTTATCACTACTACAAATCCGATTCGCTGTGTAGACAGACAGCGAATTTAAACACTTTAGACTTTTGATTAATGTTTTGACACATCAATATTTCTTTATTTTTGTTTCTAATATTTACAAACTATAAATAGTTTCGACTTACTGGTTGTAGGATATGTCTCCTTTATTTAAATTCCATTTCCCGCTGTTTTTTCAACACGTAATTATTGCATTTGCCATTTTTTTTAAAATAATTTGCATGCAGCGACGCTTGACACAAAAATTGGAAACGATTGATTGTGTTGACATTTATAGGTGTGAATTGACGTGTTAGTGGCTACACGGGCTCCGCCCACTCCCCTGTTCTATTATGTATGTATTATAGTATTCTATGGTCTCCTCTTACGACACCTTCGGGACGATATGGAGTAGTGGATATTCTTATACCACCACTACACGGTTAATTCCTTGTATGACATATTTAAACACCATACCGGCGATTGTGGCAAATCTACCTTACAGTTAGAGCCCTATGTTTAGCAGTAAAGTTTTACAATCTTGCTGATTAATAACAAGGAGAATTTATTATAATATTGTAGTAAGCCTGTTGATGGCTGAAAGCCAAATACAAAATAAGCGATCGCTGTCAGGAATCGGGGCGAAATAAGATACTCGCGATGTGCGTACTTTAACTTATTTGCTTCGGCGAATTCGTTGATTGCTTCCTAGATCCAATGCTAGATATGTCAGTAAACGGCGGCCTAAATTCAGAGAGTAAATACAGTCACATTTTTGTTACCGAAAAGGATCGATATGGAAGAACGATGACCTGGAGTCTGTAGCTAGCTGATATTAAATAGTGTTAATGAAACCGAGGAGTTGCGCCGTAATTTCATTTCACCACTTAAGCGTTCTCGTTAGCTCTAGCTTTAATCAATTTTTAATTGGAAATTTAAATCAACGGATTATAAATCTATTGTTATATTAACGTAAACCTATAAATATCTTCACAAAAATTTGATCTGTATTTATCCATAATATGATTCTCAGCTGCGCACATGTTGCCAGTTAGTATAATAAAAAAAAAACAATTACTTTTCTGATGTCATAGCAACATGCACAATTTAATAGTTACATGTGGGAAATTACCGAGGGAAGTGTGGTCGTGATACTGCTTTTTATAAAGTATAAGAAATTTATTCATTGAATTGCGTGATTATCATAATTTACTCTTATTTTTAAGCAAACATGACGCCAACGGCTTTTATCTTTTTTAATCTTTAAAAGGTTCATTAGCTTTATACTTATCGTAAGTCATGAAATTTTGTATCAAAGGAATGTAGCAGTCAATGCTTTATTTAATTATTTAAGAAAGATAAATAATATATATTAGCGGAAATTCGTGTCATTATCAGCGGTACAATTACCTTATATGGTCGCAAAAATTTAATGCGATAATGTGGTATTACGTTGCTTTATGACGTACTTTATCACTTCTGATAGTTGTTTTGCAATAAAGCAGCTGTTACAATTGGCTTTAAAATACTCTTTATTTTTGCAAGTTAGTTTATCGAGTGTTTAATATTGTTAATAATGATGGTGCAAAATAATTGGATTTTAAATGTTAGTGATAAATGTCATGAATGTTATTAAAATGTATACCGTGACTAATTACTCGTTATTATGATATGTATGTACTTAGTAGAGCCATGCTGCATCATTATTATGGTTGATGGTTTTAGCACGAATGAGTCGGCTTGACCGAGGTAGGACCACGCTCTCACAGAATATCAACGTAAAATAGCAGATAAATAATAATAGTGTTTCGTATGGTGAGTGTAGAGAACCGGAGACCCTTTTTACTGGAAACGATGCATTTCGTTTTAGTCCTCAGGGTTTTTTATAGAATAAGGGTGACAAACGAGCACACAGTCCACCTGATGGTAAGTGGATGCCGTGGCCCATAGACATCTACATTTATCCTCGATTAAGAATCAAAATGCAGATGCGTTGTCACCCTTGAGGACTAAGATGGAATGCCTCGTTTCCAGTAAAAACGGTCTGTGGTTCTCTACATTCACCATACGAAACACAGCAGCATTTAGCTGCTATTTTACACTGAAATTCTGTCAGAACGTGGTCCTTCCCCGGTCGAGCCGACCCATTCATGCTATTACCATAATATAGCTGCAGCTTGGCTGTACCACGTAAAGATTTTCCTGATATTTCTCACAGTCGCCATTTAAAACACCAACATATGAATTTGTGTTATTGATTCTCGTATGCCAGAAACAGATGTGGAACAAAATCAATATGCTGAATCAATGATTAAAATTACAAAATGTTCCTGCAATCTTTCTGTTATATTTAATTTAGTAAATTATATGAATGTCCTTTAACTGAATACTTTTAAAGTTTCTTCTACTATTTATGAAGAATTCAAGAGTTAAGAGTTGTGTATTTCACAATATCCAAGTGACGATAAACGCAAATCCTTAATAACTTTTTATATATCTGTTCCAGAGGTAAAAACGTCCTCAACCAAAAAAGTGAATTAGAAAAGGCGTTATCCAAACACAAGGAGAAGCAGCTTATGAATCAAGTCAAGGAGCACAGAGAGACACCAGGTAAATTGACCTTCTTTTAATCCTTTCTGGGCCGTATAAATTTTTTGTCTGTGACATCAGATCGTAGTGAGTGCTTCTTTGTCATGCCTTTATCTCAAGTCACCATTATCTTTTACGAAAATCTAACGAAGCAAAGTTTTGATAAAAATAAAATGGAATAAACAAAGTGGAACTTTGGCATGCAATTTACATCATTCTAATGTTGTAATATTATGAGAAGTCGCAATCGTAACGTATTTAACCTTTAGCATGTTATCGTAATCGATATTATGTGGGCCAATTATTGGAATAACATAATTAATTATGTCATTTGTTTGGGTCATGGACGAATCGACTTCTAGCAACTTGCAGGAGGACTTTATGACAGTGCTAATATACAGTAAATTGTTAAAGATAAAACCTTTTTACCTTAATATTTTATACTACGTGAACTAATAATGACTTGATTCTTTTGGCGTCCGTTTGGTTACATTTTGTTTAATATCGATGAAATAATTGAAATATAAAACAAATACGGTTATTAATTATTAATAATTTTAAGAAAAATGCAATTGATGTTTAACTCTACGGTATCAACTTAGTCAACAAAGACTTATTTTTATGAGAAATTAATAAACAGACAAAGAAGTATATAAAAACGGAAGGGAATCACCTATGATATTTTTTATATTACAACATTTTTACATACACATATATTTCGTAAAATCTTTTAACAGCTGTTAGTAAGTGACGTTAGAATGTGTTTCTACCTATATCTATATCTATATAATTTGCATACATTTGTATTTTTATCGTGATTTAATTTTGGAAATATAAAAGTTTCTATATTGCTTACGGAATATTGCATCAAATACGTACTCTTAGCACTACGTCATAGCACGGGCTAAATTAAAGTTTTTTTCGTTTCCATAATGAGGAAATGGATTCGGTACTCGCTGTCGCTGCATCGAGTACAATGTGACTGCATTGATTGAATGGCCAAGTTACACGCCTTGCGTCCGGTGCTGTTTGAATTGATTGTAGAGTTTTATACCTGTTAATATGATAATTAGTGTTGAGAAAGATTATTATTAAAATCTAATATAATTAACACTAGACATACAATAACGTTACAGCCTTTGAAGTCCACAGGTGGACATAGGCCTCCCCCATAGGTTGCCTCATAGGGGGGATATTTGCCATAGTTTGCCACAGTTGTTATTAGGAATACCTACAATATGTGGATATTTTATGTATTATGCATAGTGAAGTTAGCGAAGGACCAAGTAACTAACTACAAGTATTTGAAAATAACTTGGTGTAAGTTTTTATAATTATTTTTGGGTAAAAATATCTAATGATAATTAATAATATGTAAATCATACAGTAAAGCAGTTTTTATAATTCGTTTACAGTTATTTATATAAATTTAATAAAGTTATACGCAAAGAGATGGTACTTACCTAAGAGTTAGCATAGTTCGGCTACAATCTTTTTAAATCTAAAAATACTCAATAATAAGCTGATATTATGGTAAGATTCCTTGGCAAGGACGTTTAAATAAAAAAAAGATACTTAAACCCTTTTTTTACTATCTATTTAGTAAACTCGTCGACGGGTGATCGCAACTTACTCCGCATAACTCGTGCAGATGTTTTGTTTTCGTTGCATATTCGGGCGAGCGCTATCCGGTCCTTGCGACGCAGGTGCACTTCTCGGCCGACGACCGCATCAAACGATAGGTCGGATCCACATTCTATCATCATCATGCATCATATCCGTGTAGTTTAGAAAAAAAAACATTCAGTATTTGGGTCGTCATATTCCGCACAAAACTTCGTATCTATCTGATACACCTCGTATAGAATACATACACGTATCAGTCATTAGTATGGACTTAGTTTGTTACTGTCTTATGAAACAGCGATGCGATACGATACCAGATACACCGCGTCCCAGCCTACACGCACCTACACGATCTTGACTCTTGACAAATGTGAATGAAAACACATTTGATAGCTCTCCCATCGTGTTGGTTTCTGTTTCTAAACACTTCTTCTTCACACGTTCCCACCAATGCTTTCTTTGTCTGATTTTGTTATTCATTTTGAACGAATTATAATAACGGTTAAACATGCACCGGTAAATTCTGAGCGGTCTCGATATTACTGGCCAAAATTGTGACATGACTGATCTAAATGAGAGGTGATAATGAGCAGAGAGTTACGTGTATGATGGGAATTAAGGGAAAAGGTATAAGAATCTAAGGAAAATTTATCGAGTTAGAGACATCTATCATCTACTGACCTTTATGCTGATAAGAGGCTAGCCATCGGCGCAGGACAGGATTATAGTGCCCAAGTGTATGCGCAAGCACAGGTGCACTCTCTATTCCCTCACTCCCGTAATCCGATGGGACTGTAAAGCGACACGACCGGGAGAGAGATCAGGCGCAGGACCAACGGCTTTACGTGCTTTCCGAGGCACGGGGGTGAGACACCGCCAACTTCCTGACTCCGGGCAGCTACTGAGAATTTCTTGACAGAAAAACTCAATAATTTATTTTTTGGCCCGACCCGGGATTCGAACCCAGGACCTCATGATTAGCAGTCGCACTACTACAACCACTAGACCAACGCGGCGGTCATACGATACGATAGTACTGATATAGGCGTCTATGCTTAAGATACAATGCCTTGTCAAGCTGCGTTCAAGTGTGTACACGGCCTTATGGTCTTCGCACGCACTAGCGGACACTTGATTTCTTTTGGTCGTTATTATTTAACTGTACGATAGTGTGGTCGCACGTCATTGAGCAAGGTCGGTTGGCTGAATGTGAAACTCCTAGCTCGCTTCCTGTTCATCTATCTGATTGGTTGATCGTGGGAGGAATTGCTAAATAAGCACTTAGATAACAAAACTCAAACACAATCGCAGCGGTGAAGCGTTCAATTATTTTTGCTGCAACTTAGGAAGTGTTTACGCTTCCCGTATATTCACTTCCATATTTAGTTACATATAAAACAATGAATGTATAATGAAGTCAAGCTAACTTCATTGAGGTAGTCTGAGATCTCATGGGAAACGTATGCAAACTGTGCGATAAAGTTGTTAATGTGAAAGTTAAGTTACCTTAGGTGTAATATGCGTTTGTGTGTTTGTTGTATTAGTATAAGGTAAGGTTTGTATATTTGTATTTGTATTGTATTGTATATTTTAATAAAGTGCACACTTTGACTACCTCTATTTCCTTTAACTATCCTTCAATAGGCCTGCTGGAAGAAATTTCTTTATGGAATAAGCAGTACCTTTGTACATAATTTTGATTTTACCATATTCCTATCGAAGTATGTGTGTACATAAACTGTACAATAAATAAATAAATATAATATTGAAGTTGCTTGGTACCCAGACTATCTCATTACTAACGCAGTTCGTAGGTTTAATTTCTTCTAGTCGGTTATTATCGTGGTAGAGCCGAATTATATTCACTCGCTACAGCTGGATTATGACTACCACACAAATTGGGAGGCTCGACCGGGTTATTATAGAGGAAGAGGAAAAACTAAAGAATAAGAAACACCAGCGTAAAAACAATGATGTCATGCTGCTGTGATTTGTATGATGACTGAAGAGACTCCGAAGCTCTATATACTAACAAAGCGTTCCAAGTCGGCCTTCGTCCTCAGGAGTGACACTGTATCTGTATTTTGATATCTAGTTTAGGAAAGACTGACAAAGCAAATATATGTTGCAGAAGTGAATGGAAGAGTCGGAAAGGGACGTCCTAGGCGAAAGTTTGTCGACCAAATTGGCGACATATTAAAATAGGCCAAATTAAGAGTACCCTTAATCGACGAGCATGTATGCGTAGATATATGGATGTGGAAGAGGCGAGAGAGGTATGTCAGGATCGTGCTAAATGGAAGTCTGTAGTCTCTGCCTACCCCTTTGAGTGATAGGCGTGAGTGTTTATGTATGATATATGTAACTGTCTATGAGCCACGTCATCCACTGTTCATCAATTAAACAGTATACTAGTTTTCTCTCCATATTTTCGCAGAAGAAGCATCGAATCAAAAAAAATAGACTGTATACACTAACTGTATACAATAAAAGAACAGAAATAAGAGCTTTGAACGTAATATTGTGACCGCAGTGCGAGTGAGATGTCTGTATGAAGCCGAAATGCGTACTAAGCTAAGCGTTAGCGTCAGAGACCACCACCTCCATGATATGTATGAGTCAGGATAGAGTTGGAGTTAGACCATTGCGGCTAATTATCGTGTCTTCCCTTTTTTGTTTAAATCAGTGGAAGTAGTCGTCAATATTAGTGAAAAAACTATGTAAAGTTACGGTCACTTACTTCTTACTTCTTTATTATACTTCCCACGGTTGGGCGCAGGTCTATTCTCGTTTCTCCGCGCTTCTCTACTGCGCATTGAGGGAGTTTACATGTCTTCAAAATATTTTATTTCTCAGACATGCAGATTTTCCCACGATGTTTTCGTGCACCACCAAGTAAGTGGTAAATTAGCACTTAATATTGCAATAACACTTTCATTGGTGACGGTAGGAAAGCCTGGGTGCTCTCATACTAATTTCCAATGGTACTACTAAGTTGCTGTCGAGTTTTCATTTTTTTATATAACTTTAATTAAGAAAAAATTGTAATTTTTATACTTAGGACAACCACGCCTCCATCAAATCTCGTCTGTAAAATCGTAATTCGTAAAAGTTAAAGTGTTATCATATGTAAAACAATGTTAATCTCAAATATATTTTACGATATTTATCACATTCTTTTGCATGCATGTCATGCAAAATACTTAGTATTTTTAAACTTATGGTACTGTTTTTAAAAAAAATATTTAACTATAAATTCGGAAGTTATAAACAGTATAAATGTAATACTTTTTACGGTATAAGTGAATGGGTTTACATGTATCCAACATCCCTTTACATTTATATAAAGATAGATATTTTTAAACTTAAGAACTACTTACGACAGAGCTTAAAGC